ACAGTTCCCATGTGTTGTGGGAGGAACCTGGTTGGAGGTTATTGAATCATAGGGGTGTGTCTTTCCCATGCTGGTCTCATGACAGTGAATAAGTCTCATGAGATCTAATGGTTTTAAAAATGGGAGTTTCCCTGCACAAGCTCTCTTCTTTTGTCTGCTACCACGTGAGATGTGCCTTTCACCTTCCGCCATGATTGTGAGGGCTCCCCAGCCATGTAGAATTGTAAGTCCCATAAACCTCTTCCTCTTGTAAATTGCCCAGCCTCAGGTATGTCTTTATCAGCAGCGTGAAAACAGACTAATCCATGGGGGTACCATTCAAAAGCCTGAGAGCTGGAGAGCGATGGTGCAGATTCCCATCTGAGTTTGAAGACCTGAGAACCAGGAGCACTATGGGTAAGAGAAGATCAGTGTTCCAGCTCAGCAGTCAGGTCAGGAGCAAATTCCACCTTCCTTCATTCTTTTGTTTCATCCAGGTCCTCACAGACCAGAGACGGCCACCCACACTGGTGAGGGTGGTCCTCTTCATTCAGTCCACCAACTCAAATGCTCATCATTTCTGGAAACATCCTCACAGACACACCCAGAAATGATGTATAACCAGATAGCCAGGCATCCTGAAGCCCAGTCAAGGTGACACACAAAATTAACCACCAAAAACAAAGGATGCCCAGATGCCTCTAAAAATTTTTAGAGACATCGTTCAAGGATCCTTCTGATCCAGCATCTGCTTACCTGTCTAGCCTGAACAGTTACTCCAAAGAATCATGCTCTCTTCCACTTTGCAGCCTTTGCACATGCAATTCCCATTGCTCAGAACTCTCCCTCAGTTTTCCACCCCACCTCTCACCTGACCAACTCTTATTCATCCTTCAAGTCTCAACTTGAGCACCATGACCTCCTGGAAGCAATTTTTTTTTTTTTTTTGAGACAGAGTCTCACTCTGTCACTTGGGCTGGAGTGCAGTGGCACCACCTTGGCTCACTGCAACCTCCCAGTGAGGTTGAACCACCTCCCAGGTTCAAGCAGTTCTCTGCCTCAGCCTCCCAAGGAGCTGGGATTACAGGTGCCCACCACCACACCTGGCTAATTTTTGTATTTTTAGTAGAGACGGGGTTTCACCATCTTGGCCAGGCTGGTCTTGGACTCCTGACCTCATGATCCACCCACCTTGGCCTCCCAAAGTACTGGGATTACAGGCATGAGCCACCGCATCTGGCCGGGTGCCTTCTCTGCATTCTTTATCATGCCTTCCACTTCCTGATCGTTGCCTTATCACAAAATTTTTCTAGTGTCTTTCCTCTCAAGATACTCTAAGCTTGATGGGGATTGTTCATCAATGTGTCCCCAGTGCATTGTACAGTGCCTGGTGCATAGTAAGGGCTCAATAAACAAGTGTGACAAATGCAAGACATACATAGATATGAGAGGTATCTATAGAGAGAACAAAATGCATGTATGGCACCTGCATCACTTCACTTAGCACATATTTAATATCATTCACACCTAAGTTTAAAACTCTACCATATTCTGAAACAGAAAGTTAAACTCTTCTAAAACTGAAAACTTGCAGATGATGGCATTGCTAAGAGCAATCTGATACAGTAACAGTTTCTGGCATATGCAGCTCATTTTAACAGATGCCTGTATGACATACAGAAAGCTGTCAGGCATGCTCCAAAAAGAAAAGCCATCCAGTTCATGTTCCACTTGCCAAATTAATTTCATTTGACATTTAATTTATATCCTAAGGTACTGTGGATTTAAAACTTGACTATGATATAGCAGATTAGAGAAGTGTTCTATTTGACAAAATCAATTCATCAAGTTACTTTTATTATGAGGAAGGCTGTCTTGATATAGATATCTCCAGATCAAATATGCAGACCATCTAAAAATACATTTATTGATTATTTCTAATAAAATATAAGCTTTCTCCTCTTTCTTATGTCTAATGTTAAGTGAAGTAAAGCTTGCACCTGCTCACCATAATAACAGAGAAAGGAGAGATTAGAAAGTCAGAATGGTGTGGGTTTAAAAGCTAGAAAGCAGAGTTGAAATTCTCCATCGGCCATAGAGGGTTTCAACTCCAGCCACATATTAGACTCAGCTGGGGATTAAAAAAATAATAATAATAGCGCCCAGTCGCACCCCAGATAAAGTGAGTCAGAATCTCCAGTATGACATGGATTTTTTTTTTTAAATCCCCAGATGATTCTATTAGTTATGTGAATTTGGGCATGTAATTCAATATCCATAGTATATAAAATGGAATGTAGTAGACATTGGCCACAATCATGATGTGACAATCCACTTTTAAAAAAAAACTAACAGTTTATTAGTTGGAATCAGACTTGAAAAAAAGATTTATACATTGCAATCGGTTGACAGTTCCTTTATAACGCTTTCAACTTATAGGTTCACCTCTCTCTGCCTTTTCTTTTTGCTTTGCAATTTACTTGTTGAAACAACTGGATCATTTGTCCCATAGTTCTCATGATCTAGAATTTGCTCATTGCATCTCCATGACATCATTTAACGTGATCCTCTTTCCCACTATTATTTCTTGTAAATTGACTGACAGATCAAAAGGCTTGGTCAAATTCACATTCGATTGGCAAGACTGGGCAATGATCTACCCCTCTCTCAGAAGCACTTTATGTCTGTTTGTCTCTGTTTTTATGAGGTGAATAGTTATTGATAATTGTCACCTAGATTCATTATTATATCAGTAGCTGCAAAACAATGATGTTCTATTGTTCTGTTTTTATTAGTTAGAATTCTATAAAGACATTTTTCTCATCAGAGTTTAGTTTCCCTGAGAATAATCATGAAAAAAAATGTTGGTTTCTTTATGTGTTTTCTTTATAATTTTTCAAAATAATGAATTGGATCTCTAGTATCCTCCAAAGATGACCAATGAGGGTTATTTTTATTTTGTTCTTGTTTTTTTAGTATCATTATGAACTCATAGATTTAAACATATTCAACATGTTTCAATTCATTGCAATTATTCTTATTGACCCTCAAATTGTAATGACTATTATTGACCCTCAAGTGATCTGACCCTACCCTTTGACTCCCCTCATTACTCTTAGATACTTTCTTTCCTTTCTACCACAACAAGGTGGTCCAGACTGATCTCCTGCCCAGGTCTGGATTCAGCCAATCTCCAAAGAGCCCTCATTTATTTTTGTGGGAAATAGTATTTGAAACCAGAATCTGGGTGCTGGGGTGCTCATTGCCATTCAATTGTCCTTGTTTCTAGGCCTTTTAAGTAAACAGAACTAGGTAGGAAATTCTTTTCATTTTCCTTAAGATAAAAGCGCCATAAGTGCATATTGATATTAGAATTCAAATTCAGGACCAGAAAGTTTTGATTTAATGTCACATACCTTACAACTGCTTCTGTTTTTGGCAACAACAAAAACCCAAGTTCTCAGCAACACCACATGATTGAGTCTTTGCTTTATTCCACAGTACATATGCAGCACCATACCAACACTGACACTGCCAAGATGCTAACCAAACCAACAAACAAAAAGAACCAAAAACAATTTGTCATGAATTTTGTCCTTAAAGCATATCTTACTAAGAGTATACAATTAAATGACTGTGCTATAAAGTCACTTAAAAGAGGTCCACACTGGGTGATGATGTCATCAATTTGATGTGCAATATGCTTTGTTCTGCTTTCAGTTTTTTACAGATTTCTTTTTTAATTTGATATTCTATAATTATGTAAAGGTCAAACCTTATTTTAATTATACCACCCATTGGCATTGGATAAATGTTAAATTTTTTTAAAAAAATGTTTTATTACAAGTAAGAAGTGTACCTAAACACTGAAAATAGATACGTGAATTATCTTAGAGGGCTGGTCTCTTAAAAAGTAGTAGAATAGTCATTCAATTATCTGAATATGGAAAGTAATACAGATAATTAGTGCATTAACAATCCACTGATACTGAAATTTATTTTGTATTTTGTTATGTTGATTTGGCAAAAGTTTCTTTTCCTTATGTTTACTTCTGCTGCCAGAGTAAACTTATTAAGTATTCTGGGATAGGGAAGGTGTAACACAGTAACAACATTCCCCACTACACTTTGATATTTCTGACTCAATGATGAATTACCTTGTAGGATTTTTCTATTTCTCTCAGACTAATACACACTTTGTTTATTCATTTTTCAATGTGGAAAATATTTAGTATTTTCACAAATCTTTTAGAAATATTCAATATATACTACTAATATACTACTAATTTTTTTTTCTTTTTCTTTTCTTTTTTTTTTTTTTGAAGATACAAGAATGTAGCAAGTTAGTGGCACAAAGTTATGCACCTTGTTTATATACCAAAACTTCATAAATTACGTAACTAGCTTTCTGGTACTGCAAGTAAAGATCATTAATTCCATTAACGGCTGATTTCCCTGAGCTGTAATTATTTGACCCCTATCTAACATAGGGGTCTGTGAATAATCTTTAAATGTATAATTCTACTGCTAGTGTTGAGCTGTAGATTAACAGTAGAAAAACCAGTTTTTCGAATTCACCACTACAACACAATTAAAATCCTCATGAATTATGCTACACGTTAGAAACTCCTAATGGATTGTGAACTCTTTGCTATTCAATTTGATTGTTCAAATGTATAGATTTCTGAGCCAAACTAAGGTAAATTTCAGTTCCCATCATATATAAATTCTCTTAGACTAGCAAATGAGTTAACGAGTTACCGCTGGCAGCCATGTCAATAGATTGCTATTTAGAGATCCAGTCTACTGCAGCCACCGAGGGCCACTCTACCAGTAGCTCCCCCAACACTTCGAGTGGAAATTTGCCATCACTTCTCCACCTGTCTCACACCCCGCCCTCAGCCCCGCCCCAGCCCCGCCCCTTCAACTGGCCCCACCTCCTGCGCTTTGGCCCGCGCTCGCCACGCCCCTTCCGTTCAGCCAATCGCCGCTGAAGTTTGCAGCAGTGGGACTTCCGTTTCCACCAATGCGGGAGGTTCTTGTTCTGCAGGTCTCGCTTCTTCCAGGAGCTAGGGCCGGAAGATGGCGGCGGCCGCAGAGTTGTCGCTGCTGGAGAAGTCCCTGGGACTGAGTAAGGGGAATAAATACAGTGCTCAGGGCGAGCGACAGGTGAGAAGGAGAGGCGGCGCAGAGGGGAAGAGGTGGACGGGAGCGGGGTCTGCCGAGCCCTGGCAGTACCCGGGCCGGCCACCCAATACCGGCGGAGTGAGGATGCTGCTACCCAGCTCCCCACGTGTCTGCGCCGCGAGCAGGCTGGCACCTCTGGGCCTCGGCCCCTGCCGCCCTACCTCCCGGAGGGAGGGGATAACTAGCTCAGGTCGGGCTCGGCCTGAACTTCACCTCCTGGGAAATCATCCCATTATGAGGAAACGAAACCAGTTGCAGGAGGGTCCTCACAGGGCTCTTAGACCAACCTGGAAGCCCCGCGTTTGTATTCAGTATTAACTGGCTTTTTTTTTTTAACCGTAATCGCACCTTTCATTCAGTTATTACGCAGCGATTCCGTGATAGCTAACAGGGTGTCAGGTAGCACTGTGCTGGGCCGGGGGAATACAGTGCTGATTTAGGGGAACATGCTTCCCTCAGGAAGCTTGCTTTTTGGCCGGTGGGACAAACACTGCAACCATTTAAATTGAAAGAGTGCCACGTTGCACCATAAATGGCAAAGAGAACACCTAAGGAGTCTTGGCCCAATCTAGGCGATTCGGGGAAGGCGTTTCTAAAGCCTTGGGGTATCAATTTAAGTGTGCGACCCACAGAGAATGAGGTATGAGATTGCCTGGTGAGGCACTGTTAAAACGTTTGTGTTTTACAGTTGTTTGTCGTAGAGGGAATGTATTAGAGGAGGAGATTACATCACAAGGTATGAGATTGCCTAGTGAGGTACTGTTAAAACGTTTGTGTCTTACAGTTGTTTGTCGTAGAGGGAATGTATTAGAGAAGGAAATTGGTTGTAGGAAGACTACTTCGGATATGTTTTTTTCGCTCCTTTGAGATCTTTTTCCAAATTATGTTTGTTTTTTGTCTTTAATTTTTTCTCCTCTTCATTTGGTCCATGTTGATCTTGTTTAGAAAGTAGTAGTATAGTTTTTATTTAAGTTAACCTGAAACCTAGAGAGTTAAGTGTTCAGCCCTGTGATTGGTGGCAGAGTAGGCATCGGAGCCAAAGTGACCTTCTTTTGGTGTTTCCTCTGCCCCAGTGATGATTCTGTCCCTTCAAGCCCCTACTCGCTAGTTTAGTGTATATATTACATAATCCATATATAATATAAATACAATATATATGGCCGAGTGGACAAACATTGCAACCATTTAAATTGAAAGAGTGCCATATATACATACATACATACATATATATATATATATATTTTTTTTTTTTTTTTTTTTGAGACAAAGTCTCGCCTGTTGCCCAGGCTGGAGTGCCATGGCATGATCTCCGATCACTGCAACTTCTGCCTCCCGGGTTCAAGCGATTCTTCTGCTTCAGCCTCCCAAGTGGCTGGGATTACAGGTGTGCGCCACCACGCTTGGCTAATTTTTGTATTTTTAGTAGAGATGGGGTTGCACCATGTTGTCCAGGCTGATCTTGAACTCCTGACCTCAGGTGATCCACCTGCCCTGGCCTCCTAAAGTGCTGGGATTACAGGCGTGAGCCACCGCGCCTAGTGTAGCTTATATTTTTTAGGGACCGTTGCCAAGATATGAGTATTATCTAGTATGAGAAACAATCATCATTTAAAGCACAACATAATAAGCACTTTATGGACTGTCGCGGGTGAGCAGCAACTCTGTGGGGCGGGTGGTGCCAGGGTAAGAATTCACCAGGACAGCTGTAGGTAAAGAAAAGCAGATTTATTAGAGAAAGTATGAAAATATGTTGCGAGAGTGCAACGGGCAAGTTAGTAAGAGAGGAGCTAACCGCAAGGAAACAAAGGCTGGCTGGGGATTTTACGGAATAGTACTTCTGCTGTGTGCTGAAGAGGGGTTGGTGCAGTACTGATAACACTAAGGTTGCAGTGAGCTAACTTGAGTTTTCTATCAGTCAGAGGTCCGGTGATAGCTGGACACGGAAAGATTATTGAGTTATTTGTGCAGAAGGGCTGTGTCCTGGACCATGAAGAAAGGCAGACTTGTAGCTTATCGGCCTTCTCTTTTTGCTTTCCCTTGGTCCCCTCAACCTGACGACTTTTCACTAATTAGGACTCCACATGGAGGAAAACACTGTTGAGGAGTGTGAAAAAGGAAGTTAATTCTGACTATAAAAATGGATTTATAAACTCATGGAAAAGCTGGCGTTTAAGGGATTACGCTTTGAAAGATGTGTAAAACCAATAAATTATGAAGGATTGGGAAGTTTAGGGCAGTAAGTAAACCAGTATGTGGAATGATGCAACGCAAAGTAAACCCCAAATCAACAGTTTGAGGCCCAACTGTGAAGACTTTGGAGTTCAGAGTGTGGTTTTAAATTTTATTTTAATTAAAGCATTTTAGCAGTGAGCAGCTAGTGAAAATTTCTGTTTGCTTGTATGGGGAAAGTGCTGGCCATATGTGATAAGATTCAGCCATTTTTTGGGAAGACAGCTGACAGCAGTGAGCCAGCGATAAGGCATTCTCTGCAGCATTACCAATCATAGTTAAAAACTGAAAGCAGTTCAGAGATCCTTATCCAGGAGAATGATTCTCTAAATTATGGTACATCAGCACGTTGACATACAGTCACGTGTTATTTAAAGACAGGGATATGTTTCAAGAAATGCATTGTTAGGCAGTTTCATCATTGTGTGAACATTATAGAGTGTTCTGGGTTTTTTTTGTTTTATTTTGTTTTGTTTTTTGAGGCAGAGTTTCACTCTTGTTGCCTGGGCTGGAGTGCAATGGCGCGATCTTGACTCACTGCAACCTCCGCCTCCCGGGTTCAAGCGATTCTCCTGCCTCAGCCTCCCGTGTAGCTGGGATTACAGGCATGCGCCACCACGCCCGGCTAATTTTTGTATTTTTAGTAGAGACGAGGTTTCTCCGTGTTGGTCAGGCTGGTCTCGTACTCCTGACCTCAGGTGATCCGCCCGCCTCAGCCTCCCAAAGTGGTGGGATTATAGGCGTGAGACACCGCGCTAGGCTAGAGTATTCTTAAACCTAGATAGTATATCCTACTTCACAAACAGTAGGTATGTGATATAGCCTATTGCTCCTTCAGGCTACAAACGCGTACTGCATGTGTTACTGTACTGAATAATGTAGGCAGTTGTAACACAATGGTAAGTATTTGTGCATCTCAATATATTGAAACATGGAAAAGGTACAGTAAAAATACTTGACTGTAATCTTAGGGGACTGCCATTGGATATGCCATGCAGAACATCATTATGCAGTACACGGCTATTGCATAATGCAGCCATTAAAAGTAATTACTTTGAGGACTATGGAACCTTAAAATGAATGTGAAAGTAGTATATGTCTCATAATTGCAACTGCATAATAATTGTGTACTTTAGGCTATGTAAAGGAAAGAAAATGGACGTTTGAGCCAATAGGACTTTATTCAAACACTGGCTCTGCCATTGCAAACCTAGCGACCTTGGTTTTTATTATCTGTAAAATGAGGATGAGATTACTTACCTTATCTTACAAGATGTAATGATTAGATGAGAAGGTAACTGGGAATTTTCTTAGAGCATGGTTGGGTTGTGGATAATTTATTTTTACAAATAATTGTCTTTAGAGTTAGTTCTGTCCCCTCCCGCCCAGCAATTGTGAGTCATTTGATTTCTCTTTTTTCCCCCAAATATACTATACATTCAGTACACACATCTTGATGTTACCACAAAGTTAACACACTCAGGTAACCACCCAGTCAAGGAATAGAACATTATTGGCACCCCTCAGAGGGTTCCATATTGTTTTCTTTCAGTACATTTAATTTATTGGTGATCCTAGAGATTGTGGTTTCATTTGAGTTGAAGGCAGAAGTGAGAAGTCAAGGAGCTATGAATAGTGAATGGAAAGTGGAAAGAACTTTTACCACCTTTACTTTGAAGTTACATCCTGATTTTGAATCTGTATCCTGTAGAGTATTAATCTCCTTGCAGACTTCATCAAGTCCTGTTGATGTAGGTGTATGAAAATGCCTTGCAAAGTGTAAATCATTACAGAGAACAAGATATAATTCGGCTGGATGCAGTGGCCCATGCCTGTAATCCCAGCACTTTGGGAGGCGGAGGTGGGTGGATCACGAGGTCGGGAGTTCGAGACCAGCCTGGCCAACATAGTGAAACCCCGTCTCTACTAAAATTACAAAAAATTGCTGGGTGTGTTGGCATGTGCCTGTAGTCTTAGCTACTCGGGAGGCTGAGGTGGGAGAATCGCTTGAACCCAGGAGGCAGAGGTTGCAGTGAGCTGAGACCATGCCATTGCACTCCAGCCTGGGTGACAGAGTGAGATTCCATCTCAAAAAAAAAAAAAAGATGCTATTTCACTGCAGGAAAAAGCAGCAGTCTTGCCCAAAAAAAAACATTTCTTTTTTCATTTGCTTAAGTCATTGAGATTGTATAGTTATTATTTGTGTTTGGTCATTCTTCCCATTAGGTAATATTTTCCATTTTCTTTTACATTTCTCATAATGCATTATGCTTATTTGTGTATCAAGAAAATTTAAATTAATTGTCAATTTCTTATACACAAGCAAACTTGTGTTGCTATTGTAATAGGGGAAACATGAAGTCAGGTTTATTTAAATATGATCACTTTGCTATATAGTAGGGTGCAGGTAAACTTGATTGAAATTAATACTGTATAATTAGAGTTTCCATTTTCTCTGTACATAGCTTAAAATTACTGTAGTAATATTATACTGATTTTTGCAATGTTAATAGCAGTTTCATCATCTAGCATCTGTTACCACATTGTAAATTATTTAACAGCTATTTTCCAGACTTCCATTTGTATGTAATTTAGTATCTTAGAGTAAAATCTGGGATTATTTCAGAAAACTGTTGAGGGATTTTGTGGTTACTTAGAAGTTGTAATCATGATGTGGTCTTTGTTTTTTAAATTCTGTGAACTTTTTTTTTCTTTTTAAGATTCCAGTTCTTCAGACAAACAATGGTCCAAGTCTAACAGGATTGACTACTATAGCAGCTCATCTCGTCAAGCAAGCCAACAAAGAATATTTGCTGGGGAGTACTGCAGAAGAAAAAGCAATCGTTCAGCAATGGTTAGAGTACAGGGTCACTCAGATAGATGGACACTCCAGTAAAAATGATATCCACACACTGCTGAAGGTATCATGACTTCTCTTATAGGCTGAAATGCATGAACTGTTAATCAGAAATCTCTTTCCCCTCAGATTAAAAAGCTGCAGCTGTTGGCTTTCTTCACGTCTTTCCTTCTGCCTCAGTAGTTTGCATCTGTTATTCCCTCTGCCTGGAACAGACTCTGTCCTCCCCCGGCCCCCCCCTCAGATCTCAGCTGAGGTAGCTGCCTTGGAAACTTTCTTGACTTCTTCTCTCTCAGCTGGATGAGGTTCTTTGTTCTATATGCAGTCACAGCACCCTGTGCTTTTCCTTCAGAACCCTTGTCATAGTAATTACAGTATTGTAATATGACTTTTCTTGTTTTTTTAATGTGATGCTCCACTCGACAATCCCGATTCCCTAAGGGGTAAAGTACTTTCTTAGAGGCAAGAGAGAATCAGAATCTTTTAGGGTTGTAGTTTGAAAAAACTCTCATCTGAGAAAGCTCTCCTTTCCCTGTTTTGAGAATCACTGCTTTAAATTTTTATTTTCAAAGGCATCAAATAATAATCTACTGGATATAGCTTCAGAGTTACCAAGAATAAAAAAAATTCCAAAGTTATTTTTGTTAATTTATTTATATAAAAAGAAAGCAGATTTTAAAAGATTTTGTTGAAGCTTTAAATTTGAGAGAAACTTGAGAGATTATCCAGACAACAGCATATCGCTGTAGAAATTCCTTCTGTTTCTTAATTTTATTGTGATTGTTTTATCATGGCAATAAAAGTTGTGAAAGAAAGGTCTTCCTTTATCACGTTGGGCAAAATGGCTCAAACTGTATTGATAGATGCCATCAAGAGAACTGGTAGAAATTCAGTTTCAGAACTTGGCCCTCTGTATGTCTGTCGTGATCAACCATTTATTCTTAATACCATAGTGGTCATTCACAGGGACCCTTCTCTTGTGCCCCTACTATTGACAGTATTTCCAGGGGGAAGCAGTCATAGCCTCCCTCCAAGTGAATTTGAGATTTCAGGCAAATAAAAAGTGAACACAACCTTCTTTTATAGTTTCCCAAAGGAAAGGATAGTAATGAACTTGATTCTGAAAGATAGGAACAGAATTTCAATGAATTGGGTTTATAAGGTTCAAAAGTTACATTAATATATGTGGTATTAGAAGCATAGAAGTAACTTCCAAAGTGTTATCTCTGAGACATGTAAATATTTAATTGGGAGCCTCTAATGTATGTGGAGCTGGGCAATTTGCATTGTTTTTGAAATGTATGTGGAGCTGGGCAATTTGCATTGTCTTCCTTGTTTGACCGCAGTCTGCTCATCTGCACCTACAAAATAAGCACTTGCAATGCACCAGGATGCAGTTCTAAGGGCTGGTGGTGCATTAGACACAGTTTCTGCCCTTACAGAACTCAGACTGGCAGGTGAGACTGATTATGTATAGAGTGGATTGCAATGTGATTTTGGCCACATGCACAGATGAGGAAAGAGTTGTTTTGTTTTATTTGCTATTTTAAAACAGTGTTGTTTTTATTTTAAAAGCAGTAAATGTTATAGAATTTAAGAAGTAAAAATAAGCAAATGGAAGACATTTGAAACATCCATAGTCCCACTAGCAAGACAGAACTATTAATAATGCTTATGTTCGGCCATCAGATATTTATTAAACCCCTTTTGTGTTTTTTCTATGCTTTTTTTCCCTTGTGTATGTACTTGTGTATGTATTAAAAAAAAAAAAAAACGGACACCTACTGGGCGTGGTAACCTGTTGGGTTTTTTTTGTTTTGTTTTGTTTTGTTTTGTTTTTGAGACAGGATCTCACTCTGTCACCCAGGCTGGAGTGCAGTGGTGCAATCTTGGCCCACTGCAGCCTCCTCCTCCTGGGTTCAAGTGATTCATGTGCCTCAGCCTCCCAAGTAAATGGGATTACAGGTACACTGGGATTACAGGCGCGCACCACCATGCATGCCTTATTTTTTGTGTGTGTTTAGTAGAGAGAGGGTTTCTCTGTGTTGGCCAGGCTGGTCTTAACTCCTGAACTCAAATGATCCTCCCACCTCAGCCTCCCAAAGTGCTGGAATTACTGGTGTGAGCCACCTCGCCTGGCCAGTAAACTGTTTTTTTGTTCACTGACAATGTGTTGTCAACACCTTTTTACGTCAACAAGTATTTACTTATACTCTCCTTTTAATAACATGTTAGTGTTGCATCATATACAATGCAGGGCACTGACTCCCTGAGCAGTTGAAAATCCATGTATAATTTTGATTCCCCAAAAACTCAATTGCTAATATCCTACCATTAACTGCAAGCCTTACCTGTAACATAAAGCAAATTAATACATAGTTTGTATTTTATGTGTGTTATATACTGTATTCTTAAAGTAAGCTAGAGAAAAGAATATTATTAAGAAAATCATAAGGAGGAGAGAATACGTTTACTATTCATTAAGTGGAAGTGGATTGTCATATAGGTCTTTATCCTCATAGTCTTCACTTCACATCGAGTAGGCTGAGGAGGAGGAGGAAGAGCAAGAGTTTGTCTTATTCTCTTGGGTGGCAGAGGCAGAAGAAAATTTGTGTTTAAGTGGACCTGTGCAATTCCAACCTGCGTTGTTCAAGGGTTAACTGTAATTATACCACAATTTAAATTATGTATCCCTCGGTAGTTACTAGATTTGTAGCTAAATATTTGAGCACATTCCCATTGTTTCCTTAGCCTTTTTGTTTTTTTTTTTTTGAAACAGAGTCTTACTCTGTCACACAGGCTGCAACCTCTGCCTTCCGGGTTCAAGTGATTCTTCTGCCTCAGCCTCCCAAGTAGCTGGGATTACAGGTGTATGCTACCACACCCAGCTAATTTTTTTGTATTTTTAGTAGAGATGGTGTTTCACCATGTTGACCAGGCTGGTCTTGAATTCCTAACCTCAAGAGGTTTGCCCGCCTTGGCCTCCCGAAGTGTTGGGATTACAGGAGTGAGCCACCGCGCCTGGCCTCCTTAGGCTAAATTCCTACAAGATAAACTGCTAGGCTAAAAGCTATATATGTTTAAGCTATGTTGCTCATTTGTCCTCTAGAAAAGTACATCATTATAGTATCGTAGCGTAATAGAGTGGCCTCTTCCCCAAAACTAACATGGTATTACCTCTTTCTCCTTCACTACCCCAATTTAATTACCAAAACAAGAAAATTTAAAAATTATTTGTTTGAGGCCGTGCGCGGTGGCTCACGTCTGAAATCCCAGCACTTTGGGAGGCCGAGGCGGGCAGATCACTTGAGGTTAGGAGTTCGAGACCAGCCTGGCCAACATGGTGGAACCCTTTCTCTACTAAAAACAGAAAAATTAGCTGGGCGTGGTGGTGCACACCTGTAGTCCCAGCTACTCAGGAGACTGAGGCAGGAGAATCACTTGAACCTGGGAGGTGGAGGTTGCAGTGAGCCAAGGTCACCCCACTGTACTCCAGCCTGGGCAACAGAGCAAGGCTCTGTCTCAAACAAACAAACAAACAAAAAATTATTTGCTTATTTTTTTTGAATACAATTAATAATGTGTCATTTTCATACTGCTTATTAGCTATTTTAATATTTTTAAAAATTTACATGTATCCTTTGCCTGTGTTTATACAGGGCTGTATAGGTTTTTATTATTTATTTTTAAAACTCTTGCTTTTAGGATATTATGAAAGGGTTTAATTCTTATTTGTCAAAGTTCCATTTCAGTGCTAAAACCACAATGCTAAGTTTAAATGCCTCATAAATAAGGTAGTATATAATTTCAAAAAGCAGGCAGTGCAAAACACTAACGTGTTGAGTCTAGATGGAGGGTATATAGTTGTTTATTTTACTGCTTTTTCAGCTTTTTTGTATTATTAGAAAGTTTGATAGACGGAAGGAAAAATAAAAATCAGGTGGAATTGTAGGGGAAGTATTTAAAAAGTTTGACAATAGCATCAGAAAGAATTGTAAAAAAAAAAAAAAAAGACACAAACGTCAGACATAATTAGTTCTCACCTGTGAATATTTTGAATGTGTGAAACTCTGTCTTTTGGTAGGAAAAATTTTAGTTATATCATGAACCCAGAAAATATTACCTAGTCATCGTTTATAAAAACTACATTTTTAAGAGTCTTGGCCGGGCGCGGTGGCTCACGCCTGTAATCCCAGCACTTTGGGAGGCTGAGGCGTGCTGATCACGAGGTCAGTTCAAGACCAGCCTGGCCAACATAGTGAAACCCCATCTCTACTAAAAATACAGAAAATTAGCCGGGCATGTTGTGTGCCTGTGGTCCCAGCTACTTAGGAGGCTGAGGCAGGAGAATTGCTTGAACCCTGGAGGCGGAGGTTATGGTGAGCCAAGATCGTGCCACTGCACTCTAGTCTGGGCAACAGAGTGAGACTCTGTCTCAAAAAAAAAAAAAAAAGGTCTTTATCTCTAAAACATGGATATAGATTCTGTTTTTGGAGAAAATATACAAAACTGTTATTGTTTCAGGTCTTTCTTCTTGAAATTAAATGAAGATGTATTTATTTTATTTGAAATTTAATTAAGATATTTAATTTCTTATACTTTCTCAAAGTTGATTTCTCTGAAGATATTTGGAGAGAAATCATATACATTCAACAGATTACCGTAAAATTTAAGTGGTAGTCCCTAATATACCAATACATTCTACCCTTTCCACCAGAATTTTATTTTGATTCTTCTATGCCTGTCTCATTTGTGTCTATATGCCTTTATGTTCTCATCTGTACCACCTTTAGGGTTCCATATTCATATACTGTTTTGAAAATGACTGTCTTTAAATGAAAATCATAAGAGAAATGTGTTTACTCTTCATTAAGTGGAAGTGGATTATCATAAAGGTCTTCATCCGCATTCTCTTCATGTTGAGCGTGTATCATGTTCACTTTGTTTGCAAATTCAAAGAGATTAAATTAAATTCTGCAAACATTTTTTATTGACTGCTGAACCACTATATTCCAGACACTTTGGGATGTTGCTATGGTCTGAATGTTTGACTCCCCCTCCCCAAATTTATATGTTAAAATTCTAACCCCCAAAGTGATGGAGTTAGGAGGTGGGGTCTTTGGGGGTGATTAGGTCCTGGAGGCAGAGCGTTCATGAATGGAATTATTGCCCTAAAAAAAGGCCTGGGAGAGACCTCACCCCTTCCACCAAGTGAAAAGACGGCTGCCTGTGAACCAGGAAGCAAGCCCTTACCAGACACTGCATCTGCCATCACCACCTTCATCTTAGACTTCCAGCCTCCAGAACTGTGAGGAATAAATCTCTCTTGTTTACAAGCCACCCAGTCTATATATTCTATTACAGTTGCCCAAGTGGACTAAGACAGATGTGATTTGAGAATCGGAACAAAATGCCCTCTCTTATAGTTTAAGGAATTCTTCTAGAATAAATGCTGTTGATCACTGGACAGTGTTTTATATCTAGTCTTTAGAGGAGCCTCAAAGAATATCTAATAATAGTTCATATAACTTATTTACAAAATCTTCCTCTGAAGGTTTTATGAATCTGTTGTTTCACTTAATTGACTGTAATTCAATGTAAATTCCTGTTCTGCTAAATTTAAGTGTTAATTTTAAGAGAAGCCAACAGTTTCCATCTCAGGAAATTGACGTATTCATGCTGGTCTGCCAGACAATACTTCTAACAAAAGTAAAAATAGATAAATTGGACTATGTCAAAATTAAACATTTCTGGACACAATCAAAGGAGACAACAGAGTGAAAAGGCAACCCACAGAGTAGGAGAAAGTATTTGTAAATCATATGTGTGATAAGGGATTAATACTCAGAATATGTAAAGAACTCCTACAGCTCAGCAACAAAGAAACCCAATATCCTGATTTCAAAAGTGGCAAAGGACTTTAGTATACATTTAGCCAAAGAAGATATATCAATGGCCAGCAAGCATATGAAAAGATGCTGGAATCACTAATTGTTAGGGAAATGTAGATCGCGTTTACAATGGGATATCATCTCACACCCATTAGGATGGCTACTACCAAAAAAAATCCCTCAGAGTAACATGTGTTGGTGAGAATATGAAGAAATGGTAACCCTTGTGCATTGTTGGTGGGAATGTAAAATGTACAAGTGCTATGAAAAGCAGAATAGCACTTCTTCAAGACATTAATAGAATTACCATATGGTCCAGCAATTGTACTTGTAGGTATATACCCAAAATAATTAAAAGCATGGTTTTGAAAATATGTTTGTACACTCCTGTTCACAGCAGCATTACAATAGCCAACGTGGAAACAACCATGTCTATTGACACAGGAATCAATAAAATGTGGTCTATACACACAGTGGACTATTATACAGCCCTAAAAAGTAAGGAAATTCTGACATGTGCTGCACGCTACATGGAGGAACTTTATATTCAGTGAAACAAGCCAGTTACAAAAGTACATATATTTTGTGATTGCTGTTATATGAGGTATCTAAAGTAGTCACATTCATAGAAACAAGGTAGAATGGTGGTTGCCAGGACCTAGAGGCAAGGGGAAATGGGTGAATTATTGTTTCATGGATATAGAGTTTCTTAGAATTCTCTAAAGAGATTGAAATTGTTGGGGAATTTTTTATATTGTAATGGAAAAAATAAGTGTAACTAATGAGCATGAGTAACAAAATGTTTCTAAAAACAAAAAGCTAGACTTTAAAATGATCATAGATGGCATTTTGAATATCATTTTCTAATGTTTTCTTGTTTCTTTAAGACTAGTAATGTTTAGCCTATTTTTTTAAAATAAGGTGACTGGCGTTTGATTTGTGATTTTGAATGAATATTAATGTCAAAGAGTAAATTTATTAAATGGCGATATTTTGTTTTCTAGTAGCCTAAATCTTTTAAGTTGTTATATGGTAATTAACTTTATTATTACTGTTTTTTACATTAATATTTATTTGGTTTTTTTTTTTTCTAGGATCTTAATTCATATCTTGAAGATAAAGTCTACCTTACAGGGTATAACTTTACCTTAGCAGATATCCTATTGTACTATGGACTTCATCGCTTTATAGTGAGTATTTGAATAGTTACTAGCTTTTTTTCTGTAGTGTTCAGAATGATTTTTAAAACTTTGTCTTGAATTTAAATCAGATTTGCATTTTCAGCTTATCAAATAAAAATGAAAGGAATTACCGTATACAAAGTGCCTATGTAAAAACTCCTTTCACATATCCAGTTAACACAGTTGCTTCCTTTTCTTTGACCTTGATTTTCTTCCTATGCTTCTGCTCTTCTTCAGCAGTGACTTCTCCAGCCATGCTTTAGGTTTTGTTGTCATCCCCTGGACCCCATATTCCTACCATTCTACCTCTAGATCTTAACTTCAGTACCCCCATCTTCTGTGTAACCACTTGTGATGGTTAATACTGAGTGTCAACTTGATTGTATTGAAGATGCAAAGTATTAATCCTGGGTGTGTCTGTGAGGGTGTTGCCAAAGGAGATTAACACTTGAGTCAGTGGGCTGGGGAAGGCAGACCCAACCTTAATCTGGATGGGCACCATCTAATCAGCTGCCAGCGGACATAAAGCAGGCAGAAAAACATGAAAAGGTTAGACTGCTTTAGCCTTCCAGCTTACACCTTTCTCCCATGCTGGACGCTTTCTGCCCTCAAACATCAGACTCCCAAGTTCTTCAGTTTTGGAACTCAGACTGGCTATCCTTGCTCCTCAGCCTGAAGATGGCCTGTTGTAGGACCTTGTGATTGTGTGAGTTAATACTTAATAAACTCCTTTATTTATGTATTTATATATTCCATTAATTCTGTCCCTCTAGAGAACCCTGACTAATACACGGCTTATCTTAGCTCTTTTAATCTCTTAGTGTCTAATTTCTATCTGATGTAATTTGACTCCTGTTTTCCAAATCTGTATACTTTCTTCCCCACCCAACCTAGACCCCCTTTTGTGTAACTTCAGCTACATCCTCTTAATATCTTCAGCTCCTTTGCTTTACCTTACAGTCACCACCTTTTCCCTGTAAGTTCCCGGCTCTTGGCCAGTCCAAATAAATGTCTTCATTCTTACATCCAAGATCCAAGCTGAGCTCTACTGGAGAAATTACAACACTGTAGATTACTGCCACTAAAAATGTTTACTATCCAATTGCAGCTGGGCTCTCATACTGGATCAGCTTCTTTTTTTTTTTTTTTTTCTCCCAGGGATACTTCCAAACCTTTACTTCTTTCCTTAAGCCCCTTCCTTCTTCCTCCTTTATCTTTAGTCCTTATCACCAAGCCTTCCTCCATCATTTGACTAGAAAAATGGAGGCTGTTCATCTGAATCCCTTCATTTTCCAGCCTGCCTGATTGTGCATCCTTGTCTATCTTGTCTCCTTTTCCTGGTCTCAGCCTTGCCTTTTTCCTAGACCAATCCATTTGTATCAGTCCATTTTCATGCTGCTGATAAAGACATACCTGAGACTGGGTAATATAAACAGAAAAAAGGGTTTAATGGACTTACAGTTCCACATGGCTGGGGAATCCTCACAATCATGACAGAAGACAAGGAAGAGCAAGTCATGTCTTAAATGGATGGCAGCAGGCAGAGAGGGCTGGTGCAGGGGAACTCCCACTTATAAAACCATCAGATCTCATGAGATTTACTATCACAAGAACAGCACAGGGAAGACCTGCCCCATGACACAGTTACCTCCCACCAGGTTCCTCCTGTGACATGTGGAAGTTACATTTCAAAATGAGATTTGGGTGAGTACAACCAAACCATATCACCATTCATCTGACTCTTACCTCAATCTCCTCTCCACCTCCTGCCCCCTTTCTGGATCTTTGCTCCAGATTGTATTTCCTTTCTTTTTATTTCAGTCTTGCCCACTACCTACATGGTCAGTCTCTTTATTTTAAATTTGTTCGTGAACAATGACATAATATTCGGTATGTTCTTGGCACTGTTCTTCATGCTGTATAAATGTTGACTCATTTAGTCCTAATAACAGCCATATAGGGTAGGCACTAATATTATCAGCCCCATTTTACAGATGAGATAACTGAGGCATAGAGAGGTCAAATGTTTTGAGATTGCCTAAGTAAGTGGTGGAACAAGGTCCAGAAACCAGACACTTTGGCCCCAGAGTGTGTGCTTTCTTACACCCATCTCTCTGCCTAAAAGCTTGGCTCAACTCCCCATCACCCTAACACCCATCTTCCCCTGTGGAAAAAAACAAACTCATGCATTTTTGTGCATTGTGCGCCTCATGCATCCAGTCAGTCAGATCCTGATGTCTAGCTCCTGAATGCCTCTCACATGTGTCTTTTCCTCTGATCCCGATGACATTGCCCAAGTTCCAGTATTTAGAATCTTTTGTTCATCTAAAGAGGATGGACTGTAAGACATGAGATTGGTGACCCCTGGAGCAGTCTTTCTCATGACTGTGTCTTTTTCTTTCTCAAAATAATTAACTCGGCTGGGCGCAGTAGCTCACCCCAGCTACTTTGGGAAGCCAAGGCGGGTGGATCACCTGAGGTCAGGAGTTTGAAACCAGCCTGGCCAACATGGCGAAACCCCATCTCTACTGAAAATACAAAAATTAGCCGGGCGTGGTGGCTCACGTCTGTCATCCCAGCACTTTGGGAGGCCAAGGCAAGTGGATCACCTGAGGTCAGGAGTTCGAGACCACCCAGGTCAACATGGTGAAACCCCGTCTCTACTAAAACTACAAAAATCAGCCAGGCATGGTGGCATGTGCCTGAAATCCCAGCTACTCCAGAGGCTGAGGCAGGAGAATCACTTGAATCCAGGAGGCAGAGGTTGCAGTGAGCAGAGATCGCACCACTGCACTCCAGCTTGGGCGACAAGAGTGAAATTCTGTCTCAATTCGTCTGACTCCTACCTCCCTTGCTATCCTCCTTCCTGTCATTCTCTCAGCCACAACATGTGCCCCAGAGCCTGCTGGATGCTGGGCTCTTTCTACCCAGCGTCCTTGCATTGCTCTTCTCTTTTGCTCCCTGGTCCCAGCCCTTCCTTTCCTCCCTACTTCATTTGCATTTTCCAAGTATCTCTCTGTTCCCGCTCATTCCTCGGCTGAATCCCTCTCAGGCCCCTAAACCGTATTGAGGTGCTCCTTCCTGTGTGTGTGTTTGTACCTCATATACACCTTAGGTCTAGCTTGTTTCACTCTTACTGTAATTCTTTGAAAATCTCTCTCTCTAAATTATAAGCTGCTTGACTCAATGATTGTAGCGGCACATATTTGTAACACCATTGTCTGAGGTAATTCCTGGCACGTGTATGTAGTCGCCTCTGCATAAACACTGAATAAAATTTTAAACGTATTTCTCTATGCTTTTCAAGGAGTTTCCTATATACTTTCTCATTGTGCCTCATCACTAAGAAGGAAATAGGACCAGTGTTATTAGCCTCCTTTTACAGAGAAGGAAACTAATGCTTAGGAAACTTGAGGTTTAAAGGCGCAGCACTCAGTTTTTGGAAGGGCCAAACTAGGTCTTCTGACTGAAGTGTCTTAATGTGTGGGGAAGCTCTTTGTGTTATAAACTATGAAATACCGTAATAATTGAGGCCTGCGCAGGCCCCAACCTGTCCATGGTTTGGGGCTGCTATCTGCCTCATAAAGCAAAGTGGAGGGTTTGTCTTTTGGAAAAACAAAGTCGTTTTCTCCTCTGAAAAAGCCTCCTACATAGTTGGCTTTGCCATTTGCCAAGAATAAGAGGGCACAGATTGAGGCCTCATGAGTCTGGGTTTTCAGTTGAGGTTGAAGAGAGAAGACAGGGATTGTAACCAGAAAATTCAGAATGGAATGTAGTTCCCTCCAGAACTCCTGGGCTTCATGACAGTCGTAGAAGTGGATTCCTTTTGGTTTCCCCTCACCCCACAAACATACTGTAATAATGCATAATACAGTTATTAGTCCCCTACTCAAGCTATAATCCCTAGGTTTGAATTTACTTGACTTTATTGTGAATTGTTCCTCAAAGATCCCTCAGTGATTATGTTAAATTCTACAACATTATTGTAATGGCTTAGAATGATCCTTCATTTAGTGTAAGACTATTATGAGTTTTAAATGATTTATTGAAAGCCCACTGTGTATGCCCACTGTTTTATACTTGGGAGGGAGACAACAGAAGTATAAAACTATTTTCAGGGGCATATTAATCTTATTGAAGAAATTAGACTGTTTTACATGAAAGCAATTAATGAAGTAGAGAAAATGGAATCCAGTGCTAATCTCTGGTCAGAATATTATGTTATTAATGAACGAGGCAGATGAGTAGAATATAGAATCCTAAAATTGTCAGAAAAATATCTGAAGATTTGGATGGCCTTGGCTATCTAAGGGAATTTTCATTGTTTTGGAAAGCTTATGATAAGTTTGATTACACATGTTCTTTGTAAATAGGGTGACCACATGATTTCTCATCCAAAACACTTGACTGTGAAAGAAGGCCTGTTAATAATTACATTGGGACAACAGGAGTGAAGTAGAATGAATGTTCCCCATACTTACAAAGAATATGATTCAATTTACACAAAATAAGGGACGGGAGAGGATATGTCTGATTTCTGTTCATCCCCTCTTGGCTTTTAGCACAGTGCCTTGCACAGCTAAATACGTATTGAGATTAGCAATATTAAGTCTGGGCATGATGGCTCATGCTTGTAATCCCAGTACTTTGGGAGGCTGAGGCAGGTAGATTGCTTGAGCCCAGGAGTTCATGACCAGCCTGGGCAACAGGGCAAAACCCATCTCTATTTAAAAAAAAAAAAAGAAAAAAATTAACCAGGCATGGTAGCTCTGCGCCTGGAGTCCCAGCTACTTGGGGGAATGAGGTAGGAGGATCATCTGAGCCCAGGGAGGTCGAGGCCACAGTGAGTCATGACTGCACCACTGCATTCCAGCCTGGGCAACAGAGAGACCTGTCTTAAAAAAATAAATAAAACAATATTTAACAACTGGTACCCATTTATAGTTCCTATTTCAGATTTTTTATCTTTGTAGTGAAAGTGTAATATAATTTAAGTGATGTTAGTTAAATGTAGAGAAAGTTTATTGGAGTTGAAATACATTGATTACCAGCTTCTTTTTATTCCATTCTAGGTTCAATATATTTTAGTAGCTTTTGGAATTTAAAATGATGATGAGGCACAACTTACCTCATTTCAAAATGAAAAAGCCTCCAAGGTAAAGAGGATTTGCTGCTAAGGTATCTAAGCATCTCTCTCCTGGTGGCAGCCTACATACAGTCTTTGAACTTGGGGGAGTCTGTACTTGATTTTAGTAAGACTGTGCTGCTGTGAGCATGGCTACCCAACAGGGCTCCAAGAACAATTTCTATCTGAAAACCACAATAACAAACTTGTTGACTTTTTAAAAATATATATATTTAAATGTGACATATGTTTTGACATTTAACTTTTTAAGCTTTATATTAGGAAAAATGTCATTAGTCATCCTGTGTGATGACAGCCAGCAGGCTAGTGAATGTCTCTTCAGACCCACAAGATCTGGCTTGCTGTGGCATCGGGCTGTCATTAAGAAGGAGAGTATTTTTGTAATCCCAGCGCTTTGGGAGACCGAGGCGGGCGGATCATGAGGTCAGGAGATCGAGACCATCCTGGCTAACACGGTGAAACCCCGTCTCTACTAAAAAATACAAAAAATTAGCTGGGCACAGTGGCAGGCGCCTGTAGTCCCAGCTACTCAGGAGGCTGAGGCAGAAGAATGGCGTGAACCCGGGAGACGGAGCTTGCAGTGAGCTGAGAATGTGCCACTGCCCTCCAGCCTGGGCGACAGAGCAGGACTCCGTCTCAAAAAAAAAAAAGATGATACTAAAGTGCAACTCATAATCCAAGTGTGTAATTAAGTTTTCCTTTCCTCTAGTTTATGCAGGTTTTGCAGTAAGGAAAGGAAATACTCTGAAAAGGAGGGAACTTGTTTGGAATTCCTTTGCCAGCAGAATGAACAAGGTCATAATCCTATAGTGCAAAATATTCATAGCACTATCTGCAAAGTTATTTAATTACGAGTCTAAGTGCACTGGAGGGCACTTGGTTTTTAGGCAGGTTAGAAGTGTTTCATTCAGTACTGCATGTTAAAGTTAGGGTTACTTTAACAATATTTAGCACTCTCTATGTGTTAACATTTTCTGTTTTGGAATGTATGTCCTCTTCATATATAGTGACTAGGATGTTATGATTAAAGATATCCTTATCTTTTTCAAAGTGAAATTGAATAGATTAATATGTAAATCACTGTTGACCATCCTTTTGGGTTCCTGTCATGAGTCAAAGTATCTCTCCCACTCTAGTCCAAGTGCAGGCAAAGTAATCAGAGAAATAAACACCTTCTCAAGGAACAGGCCTCACAGACTAAAACCTACACAATGGCAGAATCGCACTGTGGTGTTAAATGGCATTCCTGTTAAGTTGGGTACAAATACTTACAGATGTGGAATAAGTGATTTCTAGGTGTTAAGGTAGGGTAGGTGTGAGGTGCAGATTGGCCACCTGCTGATATTTACCAGGTCTTTGTGCTTTGTTTGCTTTGGCAGTATTACTTATTTTTGGCCTCATGCATTCCTTCATTTGTTTGTTCATGTTATTCAGTACGGAATATGTAATCAGCACAGTGTACAAAACAGCAGTCAAGGAACCTTCGAGTCATCAGATAATCCCACTGTATTTTGTTTCATTGTGAGCCCAATTTTAGTCATGGCTGAGTTATTCTGAGATCTGGTCTATCTTAACTCCATTTGAGGAATATTATGTTGCCTTTCCTTTGTTATACTGCCTGTTAGTGTGGCTGTTTATTATAACACCAGTGACTCACTGCTTTCTTAAAGTGATTTCACTAGTAGATAGTCATCCCTGTGAACAGACTGTTACTCAAGATTATTAAAATCCTTTGTAATATTATGTGCTTCTTGACTGTAAGATTGTTATCAACTGAAATACTTTTGTTCTGAAGTTTGGAGCACCATTGGAGGCATGTGGTTCTTTTATAAGGAAAGGAAAAATAAAAGAAATAACTGCAAAATAGTCCAGGAGGCCTGGCCCTAAAGAATGTCCCAAAGGCGGCAGCGTGGTGCCAGTTGGAAAGGTAACAAAGCAGCGTGTCACCCTGATCTGGAATGGGTCACTTAAAGTGTTTCTCACATGACTTCATGGAAAATTAGTGATTCAGAATATTATCTGCTTGGCTTTAAAGTTCAAAGTCATGATAGAGTGCCAATATAAATTTTAAAAGGAATTATTAGGCAGAAAGAGCCAAGCACCACTATAGACACACTGGCATGCAGACCGACATGAAGCAGGAAATGGTAACTAGAACAATTGCATTATTTCCTGTTGTAAGAAAGGAAAAAGAACTTTAGCTAGAAAGGGATGGTGGAAAACCAGTGTTGTAAGTAAAGTAGCCCAGGGGATCCCATCAGAAATGTTTTTAAAATCTGTAAATTTGGTGAGGGGAGAAATCTGTTCATTTCTTTGTTTACAGGAAGTTTATATAGGGAATATCTTCCAAAAAAGTAACAGAGTTAAGAAGTCAAGGTCATTCATAATTATCTCAGACTCAAAGGGACACGTTCCAAAGTTTAAACTGTAAAAAGAGGTGAAAGTGGTAACCATAACCTCATCCTTTTTGAAAAACTCTGAGTTTCTGGCAAAAGTTTCCTGAGGGAAAATGAATAAATGTAGTCTCTAAAATAGATCATCTAAAATTATTGTAAAATGGATCATCTAGCTAAAAATTATTGGAATGGGGGCTGGGCACGGTGGCTCACGCCTGTAACCCAGGCACTTTGGGAGACCGAGGCTGGTGGATCACTTGAGGCCAGGAGTTCAAGACCAGCCTGGCCAACATGGCGAAACCACGTCTCTACTAAAAATACAAAAAATTAGCCGGGCATGGTGGTATGTGCCTGTAGTCCCAGCTACTCGGGAGGCTGAGGCAGGAGAGTCACTTGAACCCAGGAAGTAGAGGTTGCAGTGAGCCCAGATCGCGCCATTGCACTCCAGCCTGGGCAACAGAGTAAGACTCCGTCTCAAAAAAAAAAAAAATTGGAATAAATTAGGAATCGTTAGAAGCTTTAGGAGCTCTTGGAATAAAAACTATTTTGTACTGTGGGTCTGTTGATAATCCTGACACTGGAGACTCCAAATGTAAAATGTTTAAGTTGGAGAATATTTGTTTTGCTGTGTTCTGTGTGTTATTATTGTTTTAAATAATAGGCCTGTGAGCAACATATACTAGTCCTCTGTGACAGCAAATGCTGTTCTGAAATACAAATATCACAGATAACATTGCCCTTTTTACCTAGTTTAAAATCTGTGTGAACAACTTGAATATAAACAAGCATTAGTACTCTGTTGTTTGGAAGTGCTTTACCAAATAGCTGAGTGGAGAATTACCTGAAATGAAAGAGCTATGAAAGGACTAAAATGATAAGAAAGAGGTCAGATTTGAATCATCATATATTTCAGCAGCTAACATGAAATCAAGTTGGAGTAAAACCTATTATTACATCTGTTTGCTTTAACTATCAGCAAAGAAATTTGTCGAAGTTGATTTTGAATTTTATTCATTCATTCATTCATTTTTCGTAAGAAACCTCCCATTTCTTGTTAGATTTGCAGCTGTGTTTATTACTGGTTGAGCTTTTAATAAATCGTACATTTTCTTTTGAGGTCCTTGGTGAAGTTTACATATAGTAAAGATTTAGAAAGAGAACAAAATGCTCTTTTACAAAATATTTTTCAAAATGTTTTTGAAATATAGACTGATGCTCAGTTTAGTCCACAAATGATGAAGTGCTGCCTGTGAAAACACACGTGACACGGAGATGCTCCCTTCAGTTTGAATCTACCAGTTAGAGCCTGATGTGATTCTTTACATGTGAAACCATGAATGTTCTTAGTAAACATTAAACTCTTACATTAAAAAAGACATTCTTGGCCAGTTTTCTTGACTGATGTGTTCTTTATCTCTGTGCCATGGACTGACTGTTATAGATGAGACAGTTATAGTAACATCTTTCTAAGTAGACACAACCTACACACCTTAAACAGATGAATATGTTTTTATGATGTGCTAGAGCAGCTTGTGTGTGGGATTTCAGTATCACTAAAACCCGGAACTTACATTTTTATGAAACAGAAGCAGTGAAGATTCTCCCTGCTAACAACTTAAGTAAACTGAGCCAACAAATATGATTCCAAATGAACATTTAATGAGAAAATACTGCCTACTTTTTAATTGTATTGTTAATATCCTTTTGTATTCTGTAATAATGATTGCATGTAGAGTGATTTGTCCTTCACCTTTGGTGATCTGGTAACTTAGCAGAATGCTTGCCTGTAGAACAAGTATGTGCTAAATTCTGAAAAGCAAAGGACATCCATCTCACTAAAAATGTCTCCCAACAAGCAGGCAGCTGGTGGGTTTGTACCGCTTGCGGGGTGACTGAGTTCGTTCTTTCTGCAAACACTCCTGTCAGTGTTACAGAGACTTGCACTGTCTGTTTAGTAAATGTGACTTAGGAGAAGGAACTACACTACCCATTCATGGGGCATGGCTGCAAGTTACTGCCTTGCTGGTTTTCTCTTTACCTGATAACTCAATAATTCCAAATTTTACCTTAGAGAAAAGTCTCTGAGTCACCTACTTCGTAATTTGAGCCCAGTGAAATGATAAGCACCTGCAGTTTGTGTCACGTCTCCCTCTAACCAAATCTCTGAGCACTCTGGTAGCTTGATAGCAAGTTGGGTGAACTGCTACATTCACTAAAAGACTGAGTTCAGCTTTATTGCAAACAGAATTACGAAAGTCTGTTCTCATGCATTTACTCAGCCTCCTTCATCTGAGTCACACGCCACTAGCAATAGCCCCCCCTTATATTAAGCAATATTCACTTGAAATGGATCATTTCGGTTTTTTAGGTTTACTAAAAAATAGTAGAGAAGGAACTGTATCTTAATCTATCTTCCTTTCCAATGAAGTAAAAAACAAATTCTTTGACCTCCAAATCCTCAGTTAATGTAAATTTTGCATTTGTTGAAAACTTCGTATTTCCCAGGAAGCACATCTGGTTTTGAACTGAACATAGCATTGAACATGAAGAACTTTTACAAGTCAGTGTTCATTGGGCTGAAACTTTTACTCCTATCTGAATATGTTGGCTTTTGAGAACTCTTAGGGGATTGATGTTGTTGTTTTTCAACTTCTATCTCCTACTTAAGTGGTATTAATAGTTGTGCTTATGTAACATCTGTGTTGTGTGTGTATGTTTTTAATCTCTACTTAGGTTGACCTGACAGTTCAAGAAAAGGAGAAATACCTTAATGTGTCTCGCTGGTTTTGTCACATTCAGCATTATCCAGGCATCAGGCAACATCTGTCTAGTGTTGTCTTCATCAAGAACAGACTCTATACTAATTCCCACTAGAAGCTGTCCATGCCATACAGAAGATGTATTAAAAATGTTTTAAATGGAAAATGTACTCTGGGCCACAGGACTAATGTAAATTAATATACAGTCAGTCATTATTTGTTGAAGTTGATAGAATTTTTGAAGTGTAAACTTGTGTCTGAATGTTTTATTTGTTCTTTAGTTGAAGTTTTGCAATTTTTATGTCAAAATTCAATTGCTCTTAAACAAGTTGAGATCAAGTTATCAATTAACCTTGTTTTTAATAGATGACATTTATTTCAATAAAAGTTGCAAATCAGGGGCTTAATCTTTAAAAAAATTGGTGGTCCTTTTAATGGTTGACATATTTGGCTATTTATTAATCTCTCTTTCATATTCTAAAATTCATTTTCCCCTTATGGATATTTATGGTAGTTTGTTAAGAACTGTGATAAATTGTGCCAAGGAAACAGGGAAGACAGATGGATTTGTTTTAAATATTTATGTGAGCTAGTAAATGTGGTTGAAAAAATATTTCTTGGTTGTTTCTTTCTTTCTGTAGTCAGTGTTCATTGGGGTGAAACTAACTACCGAACTGCCCTACGGGAAACTGGAGGAAGATACATTCTTCCAGGTCCTCTTGAGTTAATGATTCTTTTTTGTTGTTAGGCTTATTGTAATATGCAGTGGTCCAAAAGAGATGGGAAATTCTTCCTCCTGTAAGGAGGAAAATAAATATAAGAACAGAGATGGGAAAGTCTTACCGTCCCACTAATTTTGGATTTTTAATTACTAGATTTTTTCTAAACTGAAAGCCAACTCTCATGGAAAGAACTGCTGTTAAAGTGCTGTGTGAAGAACGGAGGCACTTCATTAAAAGATCTGTATATTTTATAACTCTTGCTGGTTGAATAAATAATAGTTATTGTAGAGCTAAAGACCTTATCTTTACAAATAATGAGAAAAATGGGGTCTTCGGGGGCTTTCCCGTTTAATGCTACTTAATGTTTTCATGTTGATGCTGAGTCTGACCAGTGGACCCATCAAAGTTCTAGCAGAAAGAGCAGATACTTGGGAAATATACAGCACTCAGGTTGAGTCCTGTTTTTATCACTTAGTAGCTGTATGACTGTAAACAAAGCAGTTAATCATGTTTTCTTAATCTCCAAAAATAAAAAGATAATGCTAAATTAGAAGGATTAATGTAGACAACATGAAGAAAAAAGCCTAATACGTAGCTCTTGGCCATCAGTAAGGTTAGTTTCCTTTCTCTTCTCCAGGCAAATCATGATTTTGTTGTTTATAACAAAACGAGGATTGTAACAGGCCCCCATTTTTGCCTCTCAAGTTACTGAGTCAGGAGGCTTAACAGGCCAGGTGTGTGAACACGGCACACCTCATTTTACTGCATCTTCAACACATTGAAGGTTTGTGGCAACCCTGCTTCGAGCGAGTCTGTTGGCACCATTTTTCCATCAGCTTGTGCTTGCTTCATGTCTCTGTGTCACATTTTGGTAATTCTCACATTATTTTGAATTTTTTTCATTACTGTATCTGTTACAGTGATCTGTGTCCCATGACCTTTTTTACTATTGTTATTATTTTTGGGGTGCCACAAACCATGCCCATATAAGACTTCAGACTTAATAAATGTTGTGTGTGTTCTGACTGCTCCACTGACCAGCTGTTCCCCATTTCTTTCCTTTTCCTCGGGCTTCCCTCTTCCTCGAGACACAAGAGTATTCAAATTAGGCCACTTAGTAAACTTGTAGTAGCCCCTAAGTGCTCAGGTGAAAGAAAGAGTTGCACGTCTCTCTCTCTAGAAATGATTAAGCTTCTTGAGGAATGCATGTCAAAACCAAAACAGGCTGAAAGCTAGGCCTCTTGGACCAAACAGCCAACTTGGGAGTGCAAAGGAAAAGTTTTAAGGAAATTGAAAATGCTAGCTGGATGAGGTGGCTCATGCCTATAATCCCAGCACTTTGAGATGCAGAGGTGAACGGAATAAATAAAAATTTATTTCTTAATAAGAAATACATTTTGTAGGCCAGGCGTGGTGGCTCACACCTGTAATCCCAGCACTTTGGGAGGCCGAGGTGGGCAGATCACAACGTCAGGAGATCGAGACCATCCTGGCTAACACGGTGAAACCCTGTCTCTACTAAAAGTACAAAAAATTAGCCGGGCGTGGTGGGCTACTTGGGAGACTGAGGCAGGAGAATGGCATGAACCCAGGAGGCGGTGCTTGCAGTGAGCCGAGATTGAGCCATTG